ATAAATTACTTATAATAATCTGATATATATAAGGAATGAAGAAATTAAAGAAATTTTAAAGAGAATTTAATAGTCTTGCTAAAGTTTGATCTTACTTAGAGGGACTAAATATTATCGTAATAATATAAATTTCTTTAATTTCTTAATTTTTCAAACTTAAAAAATTTAACTAATCAATCAATCTTTAGAAGATATGTGATTTTAAATAATATAATTAATGTATTATGAATTTAATCATGATTCAATAATATTTTTGTAATATTCTTATAATATTTTTGTAATGTTTTAAGATTATTAATGAATAATTAATTCTAAGATCAATAATAAAAATTGATATTTTGATATAGTATTAGATATTTTATATTATTTCTCATTATATAAAATTATTTTTAAAATTTATTATAATTATTATAAATTCTCAATCTTATTTTTTAATTTTATAAATATTTCTATTATTTTTATAATTTTAATAAATAATATTTTTTATAATTATCTAAATAAATTTATAATTATTTATTTAAATAAATATATTTAATATTTATAAATAATATATAATATTTTAGTAAATAAAAAAATATTATAATTAAAAGATTAATTTGTATTAATAAATATATCTAAATTTTATTTTTTTTAGAATTTACAAGTTATTATAAAAAATTTATCAAAGAATTTTTAATTATAATATAATTATTAAATATTTTTACTTAGTTAATAATAATTTTCTTAATTTAAAAATTATAAATTAATTATTTTTAACTTGATTTTAATTTAATATAACTTTAATAATAAAATTAGATATATTAATAAAATTATAAATAATAGTTTATAATTTTTCAAGAATTTATAAAGTATTAGAATATTATAATCAAAATTATTAAAGATTTATTAAAAATATAAGATAAATAAATAAAATATATAAATTAATATAGAAAATATAAAGAATTATTAATTAGAAATCAAGTTTTTTCTTCATTTATAATATAAATAATTCTATAAATAAATAAAAAATAATCAAGAAACTTATATTATAATTATTATATAATATAAAATTATATTTAGTATTTTATATTTTATTATTAAGAAAATATAATTCAAATAATAAAGTTAATAGAATTATATTATTAATATTTTAGATAATAAGAAAAATATAAAATTGAAAATATTTTTAACAAAAAAATTTATTATTATAAATCTTAATATCTTATTAAATAACTAGATTATTCTTTTTATAATATTATCTGAAAATTACTTGAAAACTTGAAAAATATTATAGAAAAGATAAATATCTTTAAGAAATTATATACTTAAATATAATGAAAATATTATATTTTAAGTAGAAGAATATATAATAATTTTAATCAGATTATATTTATTTTAATATTTATTTTAACTTAAATTTTTATTTTATATTCTTAATATTATATTTTTAGTTTTATATTATTTTATTTAAAGATTAATTTCATTCTAAATATATAAATAATTATTATATATTAATTTAATTAAAATTAATTATATATTATTATATAAATAATTATTATATATTTTATAATTATTAATTTAGATAATTTTTATTTTTAATTAATTTCTTTAGCTTATTTCTTTTATATTTTTATTTATTATTATTTATATTAATTATTTATTATTTATATATTATTAAATTAATTATAATTAATTCTTTAAAGATATAATATAAAATTATTAATTTTTTTAATTATATTTAATTATATATATTTTAGAATTATTAATTTATTTATATTTTATATTTATTTTACTTTATATAAATATATTACTCTTTTTTGTAATTCTTAGATCTAAATATTATTTAAATAATAAAATTATAAATATTTATAAATTAAAATTATTTACTTTATCTTATTTATAATATTAATTTTTATTTTATAATATTTTTATTATTTAAATAAATTTAATCAAATTTTTTTATAATTATATTTTTTTATATTATTTTTTTTATAATTATTTTTTTGGATTTCTTAATTAATAATTAATTATAATTAAAAAAATTTCTTTTATAATATATTTTTTTATAATTATTCATTTTACTTTTTTAAATATAATAATTATAAAAAGTTTAATTATAATTTTATTAAGTTTAATAAGAATAAATATTTATAATTTTATATTTTGAAAAAATATTTTTTTAATAAAAATAATAATATTGATATATAATAATTAATTTTATTTTGTATAAAAACTTTTAATTTTATTAATAAATATTTTTTTATTTTTAATTTAAAATAAATAATTTTTAATATTAATATTATTTTTTAAATTATTTTTAATAAAAAACTTTAATTATATATAAAATTAATTAGTTTTTATTAATTATAATAATATTTAAAAATATTTAATTATTTATAATTTTAACTAATAAAATTTTTTAAAATAATTAAATATTAAAATTATATTAATAATTAAAAATTTAATATAATTAATAAATTAATTATTAATATTAAATATTAATTTATTATAAAGTTTTCTTTTTATTTTTAGCTAATTAATAATATATTATTTAATTAATAATAAATATTATATTTTTTTTTATATTATTAATATTTTCAACTCTTTTTTATTTTATTTGATAATTATTATACTTATAATAATTATATTATTTAATTTTATTTATATTTAACTAGATTTTAATTTTATATTTCTAAAAAATTATCTAATTTTTTTCTTATAATATAAAATTAGAAATATTTATATTATTTTTAATTATTATTTATAAAAAATTAAAATTAATTTCTTAATAATTTTTTTATATTAAAGATATAATTTTATTAATAAATAATTTTTAAAAAAATTTATAAGTTATAATTTAATATATATTTTTTAGATTTTTTCTAAAAGAATTATTCTAATTACAAAATTATTATAAAATTTTTTCTAATTAAATTTTATTTTTAATTAGAAAAAAACTTATAATAACTTTGAATTAAAATAAAATTTTTAGAAAAAATCTAAATAATTTGAAAAAATATATATTAAACTATAACTTATAAACTTTATTTTAATATAAAAATAAAAATTATTTCTTATAAAATTATAAACTTTAATATAAAAAGAAAATTTTGATTTTTATTATATTTATTAATAAAAATAATCATCTAATTTTATAATTATAAAAATTATTATATTAATTTTTTTAAAATTTATTTTTTATTAAATTATAAATTTTTATTATAAAGAAAAAAGTTTATATTTTATTAATTAAATTAATCTTCCAATTTAATAATTATAAGAATTATTATAAATTATAATTATAAACTTTATTTTAATATAAAAATAAAAATTATTCATAAATTTTATTAAAAAATTAATTTTTTAATTTTGTAATTCTATTAATTATTATAATTAATATTTTATTTTAAATAAAATTTTTTATAATTTATACCTATTTAAACCTTTTCTAAATAATATTACTAAATATATTAATTTAAAAAATTATAATTAATATAAATATTAAATTATTTTATTATTTTTAATATAATATTTTTATTATATTAAATTATAAATTATAAATTTTATCTTAATATAAACTAATATGAAGAGAAGTTTATTTTTTTAATAAATTTAATTAATATTTTTATAAATTTGTTAGTCATAATAATTAATTTTAATTTTAAAATAATTATTTCTATTTTTTTCTTATTATTTAATTCTTTTAATAATAATTTAAAAATATTTAAACAGATTTATAAGTATTTATACAAATTTTTAATTATATTTATTTTTTTGAATAATTAAAGAATTTATTAATAGAAATTTATAATTTAAAAAATTTCATTTTAAAATTATGAAAAAGAAATCAATATTAATTTTATTAATTATTCACTCATTGATAATGAAGACAAATAAAACATTTTCTTTTTATATCTCATCTCTATAATTTCAATATTGATGAACGCAAATGGCTAAAAGTGTGTAGTTAGAAGGAAAATATCATGCTTTTATTATGATCTACTGAGTTTCCCGTTGTTATTAGGATCAAATACATAACCTCAAATTATTTTGATTTTTGTTCAATATAGTTCAGACGATTACTTGATTGCATTTTTGGTATTTAATATTATTTATTTAATGACGGTGTTTTGCTTTTCCGCTATTATTCGACGAATTGGCGCTGCTATAGGGTTTGGTATTGCCTATCGAAGCTTACACTTTATTCTTTCGCTTTTTTGGCAGATTGGAAGAAATCACTCATTAACAAACTTTAAATGAATTGGGCATTAACAACCAGGAAATCTTTGTGGTAGTAATATCAAAATTATCGTCAGAAAAATGATGAAATGCGAATACTACCATGCAATAATTCATACCGATTCAAAGTAACGGCAACGATAATAAATAGATCTGACCTCAGATATCTTGACAACTTTTTTCTCTTCCTAAAATTTTGGCATTATTGAATATTCTAATTAAACCTTAAAACAGAAGATCATATCCTCTCTTGCAGTATGAGACATGAAATGAGGACTTTTGCAAATTTTTGGAAGTTCACGTTAAAAGTCTTTTAATATTGAAGTTTTCGAGAAATTACACACAATAATAGATCTGCAAAATAAACTCGTGAATTAAATGACTGATGAAAAAACATGTTGGTTAGTTTTTTTAGGAAAATTTGTTTAATGATTTATTGCTATTCTATTTTCCATGGGGTCATTCACGTAATTGTTTTGATATTATTGGCTCGATGACACATAAAAAAATCTTAAAAATCTCCGGCCTCCGTATTTTGTATAGTTATCATCAAAAATCCTTCGTTTCTTTTTTTTAGGATAATACACGCCTATTTTGTTAACTTTTGCATAATATTTTTTGATTTTATTTTTCGACTAAAAAGACACATAATTCCCTAATACACAGCAACCACATACAGTCAATACAGACACATACACACGCTCGTACATCCGTCCAACCACAGGCAAGGCAATTTCTATACTAAAAAAGAACAAGCATCGTGAAAAAACCAGTTAAGAAATATGTCCGATCATAATACTCACGATAACCACGACGAACTTATCGATTATGAGGAAGAAGAAGACACTACGCAATTAGAGAACGACAACAAGGCATCTATTGCTCCAGTTGAAACCACTAATGGCGAAGATCAAAAGGACAAAAAAGGAAGCTATGTTGGTATACACTCGACTGGCTTCATGGATTTCTTGCTCAAGCCAGAGTTGTTACGAGCAATTGTCGACTGTGGTTTCGAACATCCAAGTGAAGGTGTGTATGAAAGACATGATGACTACAAAACCTCCACACAAAGAGTAAGACAGCGACATCGAGCTCCAGTTTGTCTGTCTTCCTGTGTGTCGCTCGTTCATTCGTTTTGCTCTTTTTTGCCGATAATGCTACGACGTCCTGCTGTTTTTTTTGGCCATCTGTGTCAACTCGTCAACTATGCTTTTCGAGGCTCGATTTTATATATTTATTTTTTTAAAACATCATCATCATCGTCATTGTTGATGGAACATCTCGTATGGGGATCACACGTATTATTATTGCAAGCATGGAAATACCAAAAGGGCACGTTTGTTGAAAGTACATCTATATTTGATAAAAACAAAATTCGACATTAATGGTATCCCTCCTCATCTTCCTCATTTTCAGCATCTTGCATCCACATCCTATTGTTACTCTCTTCATTGTTTTGCTCTTTGAGATATATATGTCTCTCTCTCTCTCTCTCTCTCTCACATATTTATTTTATTATTTATGTTTTTTATTTTTCATCAAAAAATTCGTGATGAATAATAATTGATGGCAAAGTTCTGATTCTTAAACATTATTGTTATACAATCTTAATTTTGCTCAGGTGTGCCAAACTGCCCTTTTCTTATTACCTTGCCTGTCATTCAATGCTTCGCTCTCAAAAAACACATACACGTACAGTCTCATGTGAAATACTACTGTACTGCCTTCTCATCTTGGTCCAAGAGACAAAAAATATTACGATTCTCATTTCCGCACCGAGACAAAAATTAACAAAACATAAGAAACATCATCCAATCGACATACAAATACAATTATATCTTCAAGAATGGTTTTGCTGACGATCTCTTGGTATATATACCACCATAATTTTCCCAACCATCCATCATCTCAGTGCAACAGGAATGTATACCGCAATCTATCCTCGGTATGGACGTACTCTGTCAGGCTAAGTCTGGGATGGGTAAAACTGCCGTCTTCGTGCTCGCCACTCTACAGCAAGTAGAACCTACGCCTGGTGAAGTCTCGGTAATCGTCCTGTGCCATACGCGAGAACTAGCCTTCCAGATCCGTAGTGAGTACACAAGGTTCAGCAGATACACACCTGATATCAAGACCGACGTCTTCTACGGGGGGGTTCCTATTAGACAGGACTACGAAAAATTCCGAAATAAGGAAACTACTCCACATATTGTCGTCGGTACTCCGGGACGTGTTCTCGCTCTTGTGAAAGAAGGACATCTTAAAGCTGGAAGCGTAAAACATTTCGTTCTTGACGAATGTGACAAGATGCTTGATCAATTAGGTACGATTTTTAATGAACTTTAAAGATAATTATTACTATTACTAGTGTGACGAAAAATTTTTGCTTTAACCCAGCTCGTCTAAAGTTCACAAATAATGTGTGCTTTATGAGAATAAAATTTACATCTGATGTTATATCTATCGAATACTATCAACTTTATCGTATAATATCTTTACTAATTTATGTCATGGTATTACCATTAAATTATAGATATGCGACGAGATGTGCAGGAAATTTTCCGAAAGACACCTCATAGCAAACAAGTGATGATGTTTAGTGCGACATTAAGTAGAGACATTCGTCCCATCTGCAAAAAATTCATGCAAAATGTAAATATTTTGTGTTAGATTTTCTTGTTCTCCAAATATTAATATTCAATTGATTTTACTCACATCGTCATCATTATATAGCCACTTGAGATTTATGTAGACGATGAAGCAAGACTAACGCTGCATGGTTTGACACAACATTTCATCAATCTACAAGAGACCGCCAAAAACCGCAAGTTAAATGACTTGTTGGATACATTGGAATTCAACCAAGTTTGTATCTTTGTAAAATCTGTTCAGCGAGCAACTGAGCTGAACAAGCTATTGGTTGAATGCAACTTTCCAAGTATTTGTATTCACGGGAAAATGCCACAAGAAGACCGGTTTGATTTATTTTCTTATTATACACCATCTAATTCTTATTAACATCGTTAAAAACGATATTAATATTGACGACCGTTTCTTTTCCGATGTTGATGTAAATTACAGTATTGCGAGATATAAAGAATTTAAAGAATTCTCAGCACGTATCATGGTCGCAACCGACGTATTCGGACGTGGTATCGATATTGAACGTGTGAACATTGTAATTAATTATGATATGCCGGATGGCCCCGACACATACTTACACAGAGTAATTATTCTTATTATTATTTATTATTTTCGCATCAATCGCATTAATTTAATTTCTTTGCACAGGTTGGTCGTGCTGGTCGTTTTGGTACCAAAGGGCTTGCAGTCACATTTGTCGCTAATCAAGAAGACGCTGATATCCTTCAGAAAGTGCAAGAAAGATTCGAAGTTAACATTACCGAATATCCTGGTTTGAAATAAGCGACACGAACACATAGAGCCAATCAACATAACCTGTATTCTTGGATAAGTAATACTATTGCGACGCATTCATATAAATAATAAGGGATAGATAGTAGTGATAAAGCAACGTATACATATCACGTTTGATAATATAATTATAATACATCCATTCATTTCTTCACGCAACACTATCGATTTTCTTATGTAATTAAATAATTATTTTTTTTTTTGGTATTATAAATATAATTGGTTTCATTACAATTGGGAAAGGAGGCATACGCGATTAATTAGATGATAAATACAAAAACGCAAGAGAGAAAACGTTTAGTATACTTCAATTTCTATTTGGTCGGGTTTACTATTCGGCTTTGGCAGAGGATATGGTTTATTAATAAATGATACATATTAAACTCTTATTGTTTAATGACGTTTTGATAATAAATGTTTTCCCATTAAACTTGAATCATTCTAATTTATGTCTGCATGTATGGATAAATTGCATTACACCTTTTCAAGCGCATCTATGTGACCCCCAATTAGGAATATGTTATTATCAATACCCCATTTGGAAATGTATTAATAAAAAGTATTGTTCTGGTACTTGATATCTTGTATCGGATTTGTTGATCTAAAATTTGTGCATTCTTATTAGTGATTTGACAAATTTTGCTCAATATAGATTGCACATAAAAATTGAAGAAAATGATTTAATTATTTTAATGAATGATTTAATATTATTATTCTTCACGTCATATTATTATTTTTATTTTTATTTTTATCTAAAGAAAAAAACAATAATTCTTTTAAAATGAAGAATGATTTTAATAATATTCTTTAAACTACTAAATATTTCATATATAAAAGTATTATAATCTAATAAAATAAAATATTTAAAATTTATTAAAATAAAACTTTTATTTTATTTTTTTTTTATTCTAATAAATTTTTAGGAAAAATATAAATATAATTACTATTAAAAAAGATTCTTTAATATATAATTATATAAATTCTTGTTATAAAAAAATAATTTTTTATAATTATAATAATCAAAAAAAGTTAAAAACAAAAAATATTTATTAATAAGATTAAAAACTTTATATATAATGAAAAATATATATTTTACTAATAAAAAAACTCAAATATTATTATATATATATTTTTCATTTTTATATAAAAGAATTTAAGTTAAAGTTCTTTATTTTAATATTTTTCTAGAATTATTCTAACTATATATAAAATTAATTAATTTTATATATATAATAAAAGTCAAAAAGTATTTAATTATCTATAACTTTTAAATTAAAAATTAATTTTTAATATAAATAATAAAATATAAATCTAAATTTTATAAGTTTTTATAAGTTATAATTATTATAACAAAATTTAAATAAGAATTAAATTTTAAAATTAATTTTTTATATTAAAAAAATATTAATAAAAAATATAATAAAAATAATATAATATATAATTAATTCTAATTATAATAATATAATTATTTTTGAATTATTATATCTAAATATTATTTTATCAATATAATAATACAGTTAAATCTCTTTATAGTTAAATCTCTTTATAATTATATTTCTTTATAGTTATTTTATAGTTATCTTTTTTAAGTTTTTTAGTTACTAATCAATTATAATTAAAAAAATTTCTTTATAATTTAGTCATCTAATTTTAACTTTTTCAAGTATAATAACTATAAAGAAATCTAACTGTATTATATATAAATATATTAATTATATTATTATAATAAATTTATTATATAATATAATTTTAAAATATTATTTTATATATTTATATTATATTTAAATTTACTTTATATTTATAATATAATATTAATTTTTAGATTTTTCAATAAATAAATTTAAAGTTAATATAATATTTTAAGAATATTAAGATTTTTAAATATATTAAAATTTAATAATATTAAAATATTAAAAAATTAGAAATTTTTATATTAAAATTTTAATAGATTATTAAATAATAGAATTTTAATTATTATTAAATTATAGAATTTATTTTTTAATTATATAATAATATTTATTATAATTATATAATACTTATTTATTATTAATCTTTGACTAAATTATAATCTAAAATTTATCAATTATAACTATATAATACTTATTTATTATTTTATTAAAAATATTATTATTAATTATAACTGGTAATATTTATTAATAAATTATAGATTAAAACTAATAATCTTAATATTATAATAAGTTTATTATAAAAATTAATTAATTTTTATTAATAAAAAATATTTTTATTTTATTTATATTTGATTTTAAATTAATAAAATTATAAAATTTTACATAATAAAAAGATTTAATATTTTAACTAACTTATTTATTTAATTTAAAAATTATCTAATTTTTATTAAATTTCTAATTTTTATTATAAAAAATTCTTTTTTATTTAATAGTATTATTATATTAAAATATTATTATAAGATATATTATTATAATTATATTAATAATTTTTAAATTAAAATTTTTTAAAAATTATTATATTAAAATTTAAGTATTTTTTATAATAACAACAAAAAATTTAATATAATTTAATAAGATAATTATTATTATAAAAGTATATTAAAAAAGAATTAGATATTAAATTTAATATTTTAATAACTAATTTATTAAAATTTTTATTAATAATATAAAATATTTAAATTTTAATATAATATTTTTAATAAAAATTTATAAAATAATTAATTAATTACTTTTAACTTTTATTACAATTAGAATATTTTTTTTAAAAATCTAAAAAATATATATTAAAATAAAAACTTTATAATATAAATAACTTATTTATATTAAATATTAATATTATATTATTAACTTTATTATTATTTTAAATATAAAATTAAATTAAATTATTAATTTTAAAATAAATTATTATATATAATAATAATTATAATTAATATAATTTATTAATTATAATAATTATAATTAATATAATTTATTAATTATATTAATTATAATTATTATTATATATAATACTAAATATTATTAAATTTTTTATAATTATATCTTTTTTAATTATATTTTTTATTAATTAATTATAATTAAAAAATTCTTTTATAATTATATTTTTTATAATTATTTAATTTTATTTTTTTAATTATAATTATAATAATAATTTTATATAATTAATTAAAAATAATATATATTAATAATCAAAAGTAATAACTCAAAAACTAAATTTATTAATAAAATATAGTGAAAATTAAAATTCTTTTTATATTAAAATTTATAATTTTATTAAGAAATAATTTTTATTTTATATTAAAATAAAGTTTATTAGTTATAGTTTAAGATATATTTTTTTCAGATTTTTTAGATTTTTTCTAAAAGAGTTACTCTAATTATAAAGTTAGTACAAAAATTTTTACTAATTAAAAATAAAATTTAATTAATAAAAATTTTTGCATTAACTTTATAATTAGAGCAACTCTTT